GGGCTGCAGCAGCGGTGCAAGTCGAGCCTGTGGGCAGAAAATAATGCAGGCGCTGCAGAAGAGGGGAGGGTAAGGGGGGGAGGGTATGGGAGAGCCAGGGAGGGGGAGAGAGGGGGTGGAGAGTCGAGAACCAAGGAGGAGACAGAAGAGAGAAGCCGGGAGCCGAGCACCCACTGCTGGAGCGCTGGGTGAGGAGCGAAGAGGGGTCAGGAGGGGGAGTGGTCAGCAGGGCGGCAGGGTTGGGGGGGGAGGCGGCTTCAGCCCTCCTTTCTCATCGCTGCGCTGCTCTTATGAGCTGGGGCCGCCAGGTGCCTCCGCTGGGGGTGTGCGAGTGTGAGCGTGCTGGCGTGAGTGGCCGCGGGCACGGCGCTGCCGCCACCCGGACTGCTCGCGCGGCCCGACTGCTCCGTGCGTCCTCGGGCTCACGGGGGCCCGGGGCGGCTGCTGGTTGGTTCGCGCGCAGCTGTCGCCTCCAATCCTCGGTGCCTGTCCTAATTTCCTGCTCCAGGGAACCTGCGGCTGCAGCAACCGTGCGCTCCCTACAGTCCTTACTTACTGTACCCTCCCGGCAGCCGCCAGCAGCAAATGCAGCAGTGGCACAGCAGTTAGCGCTGATGCAACCATGGCTGCTATTGCCACCGCCTGCCCACTAACGGGGCTGGCAGCTTCCAGGGGCAACACTCGTCTCTCTACCACCCTCTCCTGCGCCCCCAAGAGAGACTGGTAATGTGAGGCTGGTAGGTAGCATCTTCCTCTGGCCTCGTCTTCCCACGCGAAAGTGATGAAGAGAAGGGGGTCCGAACGTTTGGGCTGCACTGATCTGGGGGTTCGGGATGTCTGTCTCAGTGGCACGCGGAGATGACGTTTTTGCTAAACATTAAATGTGTCTTTAAGTGTGCGAGAGCGTGGGGGAGAGCGTGCGCGTTGTGCCTTGTGCTCTGTTACAGAACCGGACTAAAATAACCCAGGGACGTTCCTAGCGCAGCTCTGCATTCTCTCATCAACATTAAAGTTAATTGCTAATTGCACAAAATGATAGTTTGGGGGCCTGTAATTAAAAGCGTAACCATTTCTTGTTTGGGGGAGGGGAAACCCTTAGGTTTATTCTTCTTGATACAGTTTGTCATATTTAATTACATGGCTCAAGGAAAGAAAAAAGGGAGCAAAGGCATGACTTCTGTAAAGGATTGGTTCTTGTTTTGTGCCTGGCAGTCCTGAGCCCATAATTTGCTTTTTTTGTGCACTTCAGTTTTCTTACACACTTTCCCTCGCTGTGGTCTGTTAAGCATCTAACAAGATGCGGTGGGCACACCGAGCTATTTCACCCTCTTAAATAAAGGGTGTATATATTTTTTAAGAGTTGTTTTTATTGTGAATGTTCAGACTCTGCCGGTTTCAATAGGACCATGCTCTGGCATGGCTCTGTTATTGACATGGGACTTGGCGGCACTACCTAGCTAACCTCTCCTTGTTCGGTTCTCCTGGGCATTTGTCAAGGCTGGTTATCAAGTGGGATGTTTATGAGGAACTTACTCTATCCAGGGGACAAAGAGGAGAGGAAAATTTTAGGAGGATACACTTTGGTAGGACCAGAGGATATCCAGATTGTGACTGATGACCCGGAAAGGGCTTAACTTGATGTATTGGTGGAGTCTTGCACAGCAGCTCATTTTGAATGCTGTTTTGCCCACCCTATGTTTACATGTTTGATACAGACCTACAGCAGACACACACATGTTGCATGTAAAACTGATTTCAAATTTGTTTTATGCCATTTAGTAGTGAAGGTGCATGGAGGTGCTGTTCACTTAATAGGCATTAAGGTGTGAAAGTAAAACCTTAGGTGCATAGCATCTTCAAGATTCTCGGGGTTCTGAAAGACCATCTGATAATGAACTGTGGCCTTAATATGAGCAGACACAACATTAACAAACAGTCACGTGGCTTTGTTTTTAATATTTTACTCAGAGATAAATGTGCATTACAAGTTAAACATTGATATGGTATAAGACATCTTTGACAAACATGTATTATACTTTATATCTCTCCAAGGGATATAAATAAACTGTTGGTGAATTTAGTTGCAACTCTATGTCCAATCCTGTAGCGTTTTTGGCTCTGACTCTGATTGGCTGTGTAAGTTGGGAAAATCACTGTGCCTGCCTTTGACCTGTAAAGTGAAAAGAAAACCAGTCCTATCAAAGTTCTCTGTGGCCTCAAGGTCCAGCTCCCTGTAAAGCATTGGCTTATAGAACAGGTTTATAAGAAGGAATGCATTTGATTAATAAAGAAAATAACTGACCAAAAAGATAAATTTATCGAGTGGAGTCTAGTGTGGTTGACCTAACTGGGGTTAGAGAGGTTTGACACTACTGGATTCAGAAGCCTCCAGGTAGATGCATAGGCACCTCATTTTCCCCACAATTCACATTTATTTATCTGTTGGAGGAACACACATTGAGCACCCCTGGAGTGCAGGCAGGCACTGTGCTAGGCAGTGGGCATATGGAGATGCTAACCCCGGGAAGTTCACTCAGGATCTGGTGGGGGAGGCAGAGAAGAGGCAATTGCAGTACCCTGTGCACAGCACAAGGATGCTTGAAGTGCTATAAGATTACAGGAAAAAAGCAGCCATTCTGGCTGGGGGTGAGGGCATCAGAAAAGGCTTTCTAGAGCAACTGTCTTCAAGCTGAGTAGAGTCGTCATTTTTACCAAGCAGTACCAATCCTTCTGACTGCTGGACATATGATAGGATTGCACTTCCTGGCCTCCTCAGGGTTGGGTGGGACTGAAAAATTAATGTTCACCAGTAATTTGTGAGCAGATGTTACAGGGTGCCACTTGCAGACTGGAGCATTTAACTACTTGCGTGAGATCCTCTCTTTTNAGCAGATGTTACAGGGTGCCACTTGCAGACTGGAGCATTTAACTACTTGCATGAGATCCTCTCTTTTTGTCTACATGGTGATGAGATGTTCCATGGGGGTGGCTGCTCCATTAGCCTGATGTCTGAATGACTAGAGTAGTTCTCTGCTGTCTACCTGTCTCTGGCAATGATCACATAGAGTAGAGGTCAGCAAGTGGCCATGGTCTGCTTTGTATGATCTATCAATAAGAATAGGTTATATATTAAAAGTTGTACCAAAAGAGAGACAGAGACAGAGAGAAACAGAGAAGTCTATGCAACAGAAACTGTATGTTGCTCACAAAGTCTAACATATTTACCATCCTGGTCTCTAGGGAAAAAAACTTGCTGACACCTAACACAGACTGAGTGAGAAATGAACTTTTGTTTTTTTTAATCTACTGAGTTTTTGTTACCTTAGCATGACCTGGCATTAACCTGACTGATACATCGGGTGAAGGGGGAAGTAAGGCAAAAGAGCATCAAGTACTCAAGAAAATGCAAGGGATTCAGGATGGTTCAAGGGTGGGTGCCAAGGGGACACCGGTGGGAAGTAAGGCAGAAGAAGGCAGGCAAGGACTGGATGATGTGGAGATTTGTATTGTCCTGCTAACACTTCAGACTCCATCCTGTAGGCCATGGTGAGGACTTCTGATAATTTTTTTAATTTGTAAAAAATTTATTAAGTTATGCAATTTACTGTGGAGTAATTATAAACTACAGAGAAAAATAAAGTAATTTTAAAGCATACTTTCAGTACCTAGAGATATTAACATACTTTATTTCTTTCCTTTTAAAAATGTATTTAATTTTGTCCTCAAGTCACAGAATTATATTGACATTATTATAATTGGGTAATTTATGGCTCTATTTATTTATTTAATTATTTGTTAATTTGCTTTTGTAAATTATCCATGAGCCCACTAGTAGAGCCCAAGAAATAGAATATTCACAGTAACACATCCACTGAGATGTTTCTCCATATACCCCTCTCCTAGCCTTCACCCCGGGAGGAAACCACTGTTGTGATGGATTTCGATCAGAGGACAGACCTCCACTGTGTTTTGTAAAGTTCACTCTGTCAGTGGTATGAAGGGTGATTTATTTGGGAAGCAGAGTAGAATAAAACTAGAGGAAGGACAATTAGAGACTGGTGGTGAGCGAATGCATAAAGAAAGGAGGGAAGAAACTATTATTGCAGTCAGAAATGTTCCTATAACTCCTTCATGAGTTTTCCTCCCCAGTCCTTTGGGTATATCTCTTAGAGCAGTGTTTTCCAAACATGCACAATCCATCAGGGTCTCTGGTCATGTCTGCTGAAAGTGCAGATTCCCAGGCTCTCCCCCGGAGACCCTGATTCCGTAGGACTAGGGCATTGCCCAAGCAGCTGTACGTGTAACCTCACTGCCAGTGAGTCTTAGGATTAGCCATGATGAAGAAACTTTCTTAGAGAATTCTTTAATGCAGCTTTAACTGCCATGTAGCTTTTCTTCTCTCAATTATGTATTTATTTATTTGTCCAATTTCTCCATCGAAAATGCTAAGGTTAATGTTGAGCATTTTTCTTAAGTTCTGAAGACTAATACATACAGGCAGCAGAAGTAATCTTCAAACCAGTATGCTAGTGTGAAGCACTGATTAGCGTGTTTTCTATGCCATAGCCTCGCCATGGGAAGTAAGAAGTGAAAGGAGCTGCCCACTTCTGAAGTAGTAGCTGGTAACTTTCTAGGCCTCCATTGCATCATTTTCTAAATTTGTGGCAGCCCCAGTGAAGTGAGTGGGATTTACCCCACTCTGGATTCCATGGGGAGGGCCTGATGCTC